GGTCAATATTTACATGAGCCTTTCTTTGGCCCCCGTGTAATTCTGGCACTTCTCAGGCAGTCAGCAATACTACACTCCCTCATGCACAACGTATATAGGTCAGCAAGAGGCTGGGCCAAGCAATCGACACACACTTTGAGGACAACGGGTGATAGTCCGTCCAGGCAACTTGTTTTGTTGGAGTTTAGCTGTAGTAGTTAATTGCACACTGTAATTCTGTCAGTGGCAGGTAAGGAAGTTGTGGGTTGATCCAATCGTGAGGACCATCGCAATGAGGCTGAACCTTATCCTGGTGCGATGGTTTGTGTGCCTCACTGATTCCTTGAGCCATGCTGGGTGGTGCATTTTTGCACCTTCAGAGCCACTCATACTAGATTGGTCAATGGTTAGAGGCCAGACAACCTCAGCCTCCTGGTCCTCCAGGTTGTGGGTTGGAATGAGGGTGGTTCCTTATTCCTTAAATCGGACTCCTTGTAGCTCAATGCCAAATCCGCTGCCTTGCGGACAGGTTTTTGAACCAAAGGCTTGGTTGAGAGCCCTAATCGTTCTCCTGTCTAGGCTTGGGCAACCTGACTGTATCCTGCCCACGCAATGCAATGACTTTTTCTTCAAACTGTTCCCTGTTACTCTGGCCACCACAGAGGATAATCAACGGTGCCCTATCTGCTGCATCGAGCAGGGTGGCTAGGGGTATGGATGCTACTGATCAAGCCTTCCAGTCTTCTTATTCCCTTATCGTCCCGTTCCAGCTTCACTTTTATCCCCCCTGTTTTCAAACCTCAATTCTCGGCCCTTCCCAACCTTGCTTCAGTAGTCGCTTGTCTTTTAGTTTCAACTCACATGCGAACGCGGTGCGTCATTCCTGCCCTGTCAACAGGCCCATGTCCAAGCAAGCGGTCCATTCCAGTTCACCGGCTTCCATTTGGAGCCCTCGATCCTCCTTCAGATTGGAATGCCTCAATGTTCGCACATTGCTTCAGATCGGTCAACAGGCAGCATTTGCCCGAACATTAGAGACCCTCTCGATCGATATCTGCTGCTTATCGGAGACCCGCCTGCAAGACTCGAGCTCTGTGCTCACTCTGCGATCTCCTTCAGGTGACACTAGCAGCACTTTCTCATTGCGCCTATCTGGTGACGATGCAGCTTCGAGTACCGGCCAAGCCGGTGTTGGTATTGCCCTGAGTCCCCGGGCTGAAGCTGCTCTGGTTGATTGGATTCCAATCAGTAGCCGGATGGGTGCGGTCCGAGTGGCTAGCTCGTTCAAAGCTTCGAAGTCGTGTGGGACTAACAGGTGTCTATTCGTCATCGCTGCCTATGCACCGACAAACTCTAGTGATGACTCGGTAATAGACGACTTCTATCGTCAACTGACCGAGCTCCTTAGCCACAGACGATGCTCGGACACTGTAGTGCTGGCTGGGGATCTGAGCGCTCAAGTTGGTATCTTATCCACTGATGAGCTGCATCTGGGCGGTCAACATGGTGTAGTCTCCCGTAATGATAACGTTGAGCGTTTACTTCATTTGTGTGAGGATGCTCGCTTATTTCTTGCGATCATTAATTTCCGACACAGCACCCGCCAAAGGATGACTTGACGCCCACCAGCTATGGACACAAATCGATCACATTGCGATAAGTTACCGCTGGAGAGGCTGCGTCCAGAATTGTCGCTCGATTTGGAGCACATGTGTAGACACCGACCATGCACGTTTATGTGCTGACCTGCGGATGCGCTTTGGCGGACGCCCACGACGACGGTGTGAGTGCATTAACACCAGCCAACTGGCGAAACCAGCTGTTCTGAATGCCTATCAAAGTACGCTGTCCTGCGAGTTGGATAGACGCTCACTGGATGCAATTAATGTTCACTGGTCTCATATTCATCAGACCTTACTAGTAGCAGGAAAATCCTCATGTGGTATGTCTAATCGTCAACATGGATATTGTGTCTGTTCACAGTCTCTGGAACTTATAGATGCTCGCCGGCATATTCCGGCTGGAAGCGAACACAATGAAACTCGCAAAGAGCTCCGGGCAAAACTCCGTGTTAGAACGAAGAGAGACCGCGAATCCTGGTGGTCTTATCATGCATCAGAGATAGAAATGGCCGCTGCCCTTGGTAACCATTGTAAGTTATTTCGGCTGATACGGGAATTGGGCAGCAGGAGATTTGGTGTTAGTGAAACAATTTGTAACCAGAGTTTACAGCCTATCCACAATTTGTCAAAACGTTTGGAGCGTTGGGCTGAACACTTTGAAAGGCAATTTGATCGGTCGGAATGGTTAGGTTTCTCGCCGGCCACTGATCGCCCCGCTCCGTGGGCTGTCCCTTTGGATCCACCCTCTCGCTCGGAAGTCAAATGTGAGTGTAATAAAGCCGCAGGACCAGATGATCTACCTCCAGTCCTTTTCAAGTTCAGGGGGCCTGCTCTTGTGGATGATTTACACGAGTTTCTAGTCAAACTGTGGGAGCAGGAAACTGCCCCAACCGACTGGAGCCGCTCCGTCATAGTCCCAATTTTCAAAGGAGGCTTACGATCGGAATGCGGTAATTATAGAGAAATCAGTTTGATCTCCATCGCCTCCAAATTGCTTGTCTCTGTCATTCTTCACAGACTGACTGGCACTCGTGAAAACCATATTCGTGAAGAGCAAGCCGGATTTCCTCGAGGTCGTGGTTGCATTGACCACATCTTCACGTTGCGTTAGTTGTTGGAGCACCGTCACATATATTGCCGGTCCACCGTTGTCGTGTTCCCCGATAGCAAAGGTGCATTCGATTCGGTGGATAGACGTGCACTTTTGGACTGTCTTCTCAGGAAAGGTGTACCTGAGAAATATGAAAATATTATCCGAGCATTATATGCGCTTAGCTCGGGCAGTGTGAAGGCTTACGGCAAGTTGTCGTCGCCCTTTAATATCTCCATCGGTGTGACAAGGATGCCCGCTGTCACCTTTCCTCTTCAACTTCGCTATTGACGAAGTCATGGAAATCGCGTTCACAGGACACGACTTAGAAGGTGTGAAGCTACTCCCAGGAGAACGACTTCTTGACTTAGAGTATGCTGATGATATTGCCCTGATCTGTGACAGCTCACAAACGTGCCAAGCGGCACTGGGCAGATTAGCACTAGCTGTCCGTCACTTCGGTCTTTGCTTCGCACCCTCGAAGTGCAAAGCGTTCCTCCAAGATTGGTCTGGACCGCCTCCTACGCTGACCGTTGGTGGGGATCAGCTAGAAGTCGTTCAAAAATTCAACTACCTGGGAGGTTGTATCAGCGCCCGTGGGATTGAAGATGAGATCACGAATCGGATAGCAAAAGCTCGGGGCGCTTTTGCTAACCTTCGCCACTTATGGCGTCGGCGCGACATCACTCTAGCCCTGAAGGGTACAGTGTACGATGCAGCGGTACGTTCGACCCTACTGTACGGTTGTGGAACCTGGACCCTTAGCGCGGCGGACATGAAGAGGCTAGTTACGTTCGACCACCGGTGCCTTCGCAATTTAGCTCACATCTGGTGGGAACACCGAGTTAGTAACGAGCGTGTTCGACGCCTTGTTTACGGTACAGAAAAAGGAACTGAACCGCTCAGCACCGTTATTTCACGCACCAGGCTCCGATGGCTGGGCCACGTGTTGCGCATGCCAGCCCATCGACTTCCACGACGTGTGTTGTTTGCTCACCGGGGATGTGGATGGAAGAAGAGGAGGGGTGGCCAAACGATGACTTGGTCCATTGGAATGAAGGCCCTCACTTCTGAGCTGGCCTCGGTTGGAGCTTCTCGGCTCCCTGGTTGGGGTCCGAAAGACGATGGACACGTTTGGTTGGACACACTTGCTGATATGGCTAGGAGCCGACCTCAGTGGCGTTCGTGCTGTGTATTTCTTTGTCCCACCCCATCCCTCTTAGTCTCCCCATCCAACCACGGTCTCACTGTTTAGCCTTATGTAATTTTTCATAGTAATTTTTTGATGCACAGTAGCAGGCTGGTAGCTTACCGGAACGATGTCCATCCGATACCGGTAGCTCAGCCGGCTTGCACCAGTTGCATTTTTTTCTCTCCTTTTTTCTATCTGTGGCGACACAGTGGCTGAGGTGTTTCCCACCTCTAGCTAAGGTGTGTTATGATGATGATGAATCGTGGGGAAGAAGGGTGAGAGGTGGAGTTAACATTGAAGCAACAGAAGTTTCGGTTCAGTTCTTCCAGGTCTACATCTGGATTTGACACTCGGTTAGAGACTCCACTAAGTTGTTTTAGCATACGCTTGACATCCCGGCAGCTACTATTTCGCAGTACGGTCTGGAGGTATAGGTGGTTTAGACGGCGCAACTCATCTTTGATAGAAATAGAAAAAGATTCCACTGCAGCGTGGTCTTTCGTTTTGAACGCTTTAACTTCGAATCTACACAAGCGTTTTAGGTATGGAGATGAAAACCGATCCGCATGGATGAAAATAGTTTCCAATGGACACAAGGTATCAAAGCGATGTAGCTCACTAACTGGTCGCAGTATTTACATACATCTTTTTCAAAACATATACGAAAGTCTGTGGATGAAATCCTTTCAGGTGAACATTGTCTCCTTTTAAGCCTGCAATCGTTACAACGAGTAATATCCTATGATTTACTTTTAGCTGTACACGATAGGAGATAACTTGATATTTGAGTGCTCAGAACTACCAACCGCTGCCTGATTGCACACAAAGACCAATTTCGCATTGTTACCAAATTTAAACTCTATAGTTGCTTCAACTCTGGTGGGTGAGTTTACAACCTATTGCAGCCCAAGGTCTGTGAGGAAATTGGTGTCAAATCTGTTGCAATCTTCAGCAAAGATGTAAAGTGAAGACTCATTATGGTCGGTGACGCATGAATTGAACTGCTTGTAAAATTCCTCGGCCTCAGACGCGGGTCAAATGGGAGCAATCTAGATATTTGCAAGCGAAATCCATTAGTAGCCGCTTAAACATCTTGGTTTACATTTCAAAATCAAACATTTAATACGTGGCGAAGAAAGCAAAACCAACGTTTTTTGGACATGCACCACACCGCATTGACATACTTGATAACACCTCCGCTGCGGCTCTTGTATGTAATTGACAGGTCGAAACGATTGCAAGTGGATCTCTCGATCGCCACAACCTTATCGTCAACATCTTCATGTAGCCACGTCTCTCGAAGCATAATTACGCCAAGCTTTGAGTATTCACGACCGCGAATTTCGCTTTCAATATCATTCATTTTGCACATAACTAATCGCACATTTGAGCTTATTATGATGGGTATCCTCATACTCCGCAATGTTTTCTTCCCCTCCATCCAGCACGATGCTTTTTAGTAGAATTATTGTGCCTCTTCTACATTCGCTTCCGTTAATTTTTTACTCCTCGACCGTGGAGTAGAAACACAAATTTTAATCTATCACGAGTATTGGTCATCATGGCCTTACAGTTCGTATGGATTGGGTAGAAAAAACAAATGCAAAAATTACCGACAGCGTGAGTGCAATCTTGCACATGGAACCGAAAAAAACGGCCAAGTTTGAAGGACTCGTCGTGAACTAACCTTTATAGCAGAAAACGAGTATTTTACAGTTTTCAAATATCCATATCCGTGAACTACAAGCATGATGTTGTAACGCTGCTTTCCCTCTGCTCTCTGCCACGCCAACCCAGCCGGGGACAAAACCGAACACCGAAACCTGCTAGACCGAAGTATATTAGGCACAGATCATGATTCATTTTATAGGTCACAATCTATCATCTCCCGTAGCAACCTGTTTCATGTTGACGGTCTGAGTTTATCAGTTTCCCGCATGACTTAGCCGTGGTACTACAGGTCGGATTGCAACCCGTGTGATATTGTAACGTTGTATTTACTGGGAATAAAAGCTCGAGCTTTACATGACTTATAGGGTAAAAGAAAGTTCGGGTCGGGTCTGATGAATGGCCAAGCAACCTTATGGCGGGTTGGGTTCGCCTGTTAGCCGCGTCTTCATCGGGCTTATGCGGCATTTAGACAGAATGCATGCCGGCTCAAAGCGCGACGTCCCACCACGCCTTCGAAGCGGCTGTGGAAAGGAAATAAGTAGAAGAGCAAACAAGAAAGAAGAGAAACTCCATCAAGTAGAATGTAGTTGTCTCAGGGAATATCGCAGTGTTGCTCGGTCCGATGATAGTCCAGGCGGGTCTTAAAATCCGCCGCAGTAGGTGCCGAGACTAAATCGGCAGGTGGAGCATTCCACGGTCTACAGATTCGCAAAGCGAAGAAGTGTCGTCTGCAGTTCAGCCGACTGTGCTGATGTGTAAGCCTCAGTGGGTGGCCACGTAGGTAGTAGCAATGTTGGTGCAGTGTGAGTAGGTGGCGGCAGGGATGTCCAGGGTTGGATACGATCATAAATACAAGGAACGGATCGCCCCGGAGACGTCGGTACTTTAGCGCGTGAAATTGTTGTGGATAATCTGGGTGTTTGAGACCTTGGACCAGTTTTGGGGCTTCAAGTATACGTTTGTCCTTCAGGAACCAGGGGCTCCAAGCCCGAATAGCCAACTCCAAGTGGGGTCGAAGGAAAGCGTTGAGGAGGTAGAAATTCCTAGGGTCAATTCGACCGCATTTTCATTTCCGCATTCCCACCATTCGGTTAACAGCAGCAGCCGCCTTCCGGCAGGAAGCAGATGCAGAAAAACTTGTCTGAGTACTGATACCCAAGTTTCTTTCGGCACAAGCGTTATAAAGCCCCGGCCCTGATGGTCTTCCTCCAGCTCTATTTAAAATCGGTGGTGCTTCGCTGGCTCGAGAACTCACCGCTTTGTTCTCGAAAATTTGGTCGAAAGAGAAAGTTCCATCATCTTGGGGTGAATCGATAGTCGTCCTCATCTTCAAAAAGGGCCTGCGCACAATCTGCTCCAACTACAGAGGCATAAGCTTAGTCCCCGTCGTTTGCAAGCTGCTGGTGTCCATCATGCTTCGCAGGCTATCCCCAACACGCGAATCGTTGCAACGAGAAGAACAAGCTGGGTTTCGCCCTGGTCGCGGCTGCATCAATCAAATCTTCATACTCCGCCAGATCCTCGAGCTCCGCCACGTGTATCTGAGGCTAACGATTGCTGTGTTCTTGGATATCCGTGCAGCCTTCGATCCTGTCAATCGTACGGTACTGTGGCACTGACTACTAAGGAATGACGTCCCCGAGAAGGTTGTCTCCATATTACGCGCTCTCTATAGTCTGACCTCGGGCAGAGTTAGGGCTTATGCCAAGCTTTCGCCTACCTTTGTGGTCTCCAGTGGAGTTCGGCACGGATGCCCTATCTCTCCGTTCCTATTCAACTTTGCCATTGAGGATGTCTTGAAGAACGCTCTGGGCGATTCGTTGAACGCTGGTGTTGAGCTCATTCCAGGTAGTCGAGTTGTTGTTTTGGATTATGCTGATGATATCGTCTTGCTGGGTGACGATCCACATGTCGTCCAACTTGCACTAAACTGTTTGGCGATTGAAGCATCAAAGTACGGTATGTACTTTTCTCCATCCAAATGCAAGGCTCTCTTCCAAGACTGGCATGTGCCTCTGCCTGCACTCACATTTGGTGGTGCGACACTAGAGGATGTGAAGAGCTTTGTCTACTTGGGAAGTTGCATCACTGCTGGCTTGGCTGTTGGAGACGAGATTTCGATGCGCATCTCGAGAGCAGGCCTCGCTTTTTCTAGGCTGAGGCAGTTGTGGCGTCACCACGACATTTGTCCATCAAAGGGCGGGTCTATTGTGCAACTGTTTGTGCTGTACTGTTGTACGGATGCGAGACCTGGCCCATTCGTGAAGATGACTTGCGCAGACTATCCGTCTTCGAGCACTGCGGTCCGTTGCCCGTGTATGGTGGCGGCACCACGTAAGCGATGTGGAAGTTAGACGGAGTGTCTTGGGACGTGGAAGCCACTCGCTTGAGGAGCTCATCTCACTGCATCAACTGCGGTGGTTGAGACACGTATTGCGCATGCCTGTCTAGCGTTACCCGCGTCGTGCGTTGTTTACGGTTGCTGAACAGGGCTGGAAGAGACGGTCTGGTGGACAGCCTACAATATGGAGAAGCCGCATGAAAAAGCTGACGAAATAGTTGGCCTCGGCCGGTTGTTGTCGAGTACCCGGTTGGGGTCCGAGAGATGCGGATACTTGCTGGTTGACAACCTTGGAAGCCATGGCTCAAGATCGGTGTCAATGGAGGACGTGTGCATCGGTGTGTTGCGGTGTCCCTTTTTCTTCCCCCCCCCCCCTAGAAAAGAACAAACTGAAAAAGATTTCAAAAACTGTGAGTGGTAAAATAGCCAAAAAAGCATTTGTTGTTGTTTTTTTGTTATTATTCATACTGTTTTCTTATTCAAGCCATGGTTCGGATGGCACACTATCTGTAGCACAGATTATATATATATATATATATATATATATATATATATATATATATCCGGTTGGCGGCGTCCGGTTTCGCATTTGCCTGTCACTGTGGCCAGCCACAGGACGCCTGCGCCTACAAAGCGACCATGGGTGGCTTGCGCTGCACCACGCACAGCTCCATCCATACACCCCATATCCAGTGTAAACCCGAAAGAATAAGACGGGGAGGCATGTGGATGGGTGTCACGTTTCATCAATGGAGCCGGCCCACACTCCTTCACAGGCAAACGCAAGCACGCTGTATTTGGGGGATCAAGCGCACACAAGGCGGTGGCTGGACCGTAGTCCGCTCCACACTGAGTGCATGGAACCGCTCTTTGAGCCTAGCACGGCCACAATGGCTGTGCACCCCGTCCCCTCCAGCAACGACCAACTGTCTCCTGGATCCGGGATGAACGAGGTAGTGGGTAATAGACAGGTAGGCACCTTGTCAACATGCACATCAAGCGCAGTCACACCGGGGATATCAAGCAACAGCCATTCACTTGAAACGACAAGATAAAATAAAATAAGTCCAATAATGCATACAGATACGGTGGCATAACTCTTCGCTAAATTAGCATATGAAGTAAGTTGGTTAACAACGAATCCACGATAAGTAAGAAATGTCCACAAGTTACTTAAAATGCTACAAACGCAACAAAATTACCGAAGATAAGCGCAATTTGCGCAAGCAACGTGGCCAGTTAATGGATGATTATTCAGGTAGGCAGAACAAACCAGTGGAATAAAATTTATCCAGCTTAATAAGACCTAGTTTAAGTGTAAGTCGGTTTAGCCCAACTGCGGTGAAGAAGCATCAAGAATGCAACATCAGCCTCAGCATGGGGCACATATATATATATATATATATATATATATATATATATATATATATATACACTCTTTCGGCTGAGGAGATCTGTTATATAGATGTTCCCAGGCAATATGTAGGGGAAAAAGCGGTGGGACGGGTAGAAAGGACGCGACCTTTCGTAGCGTTAAGTGGATGATTGTTTTCTGTGGACCAATGATGTAGACGGTCGTGGTCCGTCTGAAGTGCGTGGGCATCGTCCGGAACGTTATTTGTGCGCCACAGCTTCGCATCATCCACATAGAGTAGCAGCGAAGACCACTTGCGATGTGACGCCATCAATGAAGGCTCGAAAGCGGTCCGGTCCGAGAACAGACCCCTGTGGAACTCCGCTTGTGGCAAGGATGCGGGGGGAAGAACGCTACCTCGATGCGTATTTGGACGGTACGGTGTTGGAGATAGGATTGGATTCAGTCCATCAAGTTCCCTGATACGCGGTATGACAACATTTTCTGTAGTTGGATGTTGTGGTCGACCATGTCGTAGACTTTGGCGAAATCCAAGAATATGACTTGCATTTCTAGGCCAGAGTCTGCAGCAGTCGTCCAGCTATCCCTGGCACGCAGCAGGTTACTCAGTCATGACCGTTGCCGCTGGAAGCCGTACTACCAATCGGAATGTAGTTTCTGGGCCTCCATATGGTCCATTAAAGTGTGCGATGATCGATTCCATCACTTTGGAGATCATTGAGAGGAGGGTTATCGGTCGGTGATTGGCCAGGTCTTTATGAGTGCTGCCTTTGTAGATTGGTGTAATAGTCCCACATTTCCAATCACTGGGAACTTCGCCTTGCGGGAGGAAACGGGTAAACAACTCCGCTAGGAGTAAAGCTAGAGCTGCAGCGTACGCTTGCTGGAGCCGTCAGCGCCAGGAGAAGCCGTTAGCCGTAGGGACCTCCGGAGTAAACTGAACAGTCGTCAGAGAGGTTGGGGATGCGACCGAAGAAGGTACTATCGTTGTATGCATTGGCGGAATGGAGAATGTGGATGCGTACTGCTGTCACAGGACTTCTTCTTCGTTCGC